GTTATGAGAGCGGTCCAACTGGGGACGTCTACTGTCGAGCTTGCGTCACTCCTTACTTATTGCTTGGACAGGGTTGTTCCCACTCGTAGAGAGCTACGTCGTATTGTGTTTCGCATACGGGAGGAGCTACGAGAGGCCGAGATAAGTGGAGAGGTATACAGAGAGCCGGAATTCGCGGACGAAGATTGGGTAGAGTTTACATTACCAGGTAGATCGACTTTGGTGGCAGGGGTCGGCAGAGTGGATAGCTCCTAGAGTTCAATACTGTTGCGGTTGGGCGTTTGGTTGTTGGTGGTGCCGCTTGTGGATTTCGATAGGGATAGACGAGGGAGAGTGGTTCGGGGATCAGTGGACTTGGCGGTTAAGGGTTTCCTCTACTACCAAACGTCGGAACTCTCGGAAATCATTCGTAGGGCAGTGGAGCAAGGCACGCGCGATAAGAACTTTGGGGTAATACCTAGTCTTGATCAGTATACGTGGGAGGACGAAACTCCCGCTATAGGCATACTTCAGGAGGTGGTGGAGAGATACCGGGAGGAGGAGCTCCGCTTAAGAGGAGCATTTAAATCAGTCACGGTGTCCCTCCGTCTAGCCCGGGGAGGGTTTCTACCACACTCGGAGAAGGCATTGAGGCTCCCCATTCCGCTATTTGTCTTGGAGGAGTATCTTGGAGGGCTTGACCGGTTGATCGAGGTACACCTAAGTTTTCTAGAGATCCAAGACCTCCTACAAAGTGGTGACGAACACCACGGCTATTACGCTCTCTGGAAGGAGGGGCCCCGGTTTGGCAACGAAAGTCTAAAACTAGTCGAGCTGATTAGAGCGGCTTCACCTAGGAGTTTGAGGCGAGCACCTGACCAGGACCAACCGGTTGAATTCTGGGCTACCTTCGAGACGGGTATATGGGAGTCACCTAGTCATCTAGCAGGGTTGGCAGAGCTGTTTAGTGGAAGGGGGTTCGACCCATTGGTTAGAGAGGCGTCTCTCCTGGGGTTCTTCGAGTTGCGCTCGTATTATAGGCGAGTCGGGGACTGGGACGAGGACGAGGAAGAGGGGCATCAGCAGGAAGACTGGCCTGAGGAACCGTTATTCGTCGACGAAGAGGGAATGTGGGAAGTGCAATGGCCACAAATGGGGGCCTAGAGTGAACATGGTAGGGAACTCCATGTCGAGGGATGTGCAAATCGGGAATGAGAAGACGATAGAAGATGGGAAATGGCTGGTTACTGCCCTAGGGTTACGGCTGCCCTGGACGCCTTAGTTCCCCTTACTAGTGGGGGGGTCTTCCCTTACAAAATAGAGAGTTGTATATCTCTAGAAGAAAGTCATGCCCTGGGGAAAACTTATGTCTTGGTAATAAAGCATCTCGACACGGGAGAGTACGACATTCGCCCATACGTGTCGCTGCTAAGGGAGAGAGGGACGGACCGCGAGTCGCTTAAGAACTGGATTAGAGACATAATCAGTAAGAAAAAGAGGGAGTTAGAGAAGAAGGGGGAAAAGGTGTATAGTGACGTGAACCCCGTATTGTTTTACGGTATTCCTGAACCTAGTCTACCTGACAGTTTTACTGATGGCAGAAATTGGGAGTCTGTAATTAATATGGCACTTAGAGCAAGGAGTTGGGGTCAGTGAGGATGTCGGGTCTTAGGGAACAGTTCTCGCTCAGGGCCATAGTAGAAGAGAGAATGGTAAAGGTTGAGGGCACCCTCCGAATTCCTGATATAGATCTCTTTGGGTTTGAAGAGCTTGAGCTCATACAACATTATCTGGGTCGTATGAGGGAGTCGGTTTTGAGGGTTATTACCAACCAAACCGAGATCAGTTATCTACTGAAGGTGGAAAGACTAGGGACCTCTAGGAGAAAATACTATCGTCTGGTCAGGGAACGAGTATGGTTGTGTTAGGCGGGCGTGACAAAAATGTTGGGCCATGAACGAGTAAGGCATAAGAAGTCTGCAGAGAAACTTGAGGAGTGGGATAACAAGATCATCGCTGGGAACCGACCGCCGCAAGAGAAGTTTAATGCGGTGTGTGCGTCCTTAAGTACCCTAGGAAGAAGGGAGGAGTTTCCGTATGAGGTGGAAGCCTATGAGATGGTAGACAGCGCATGGGAACTAAGCCGCCTCTATATTATGACCGCACGCTTCCTAGGGACTGAGGTAAGAGACGTAGGCATTTACTTACCAATGGAGAGGTCGGAAGATTTAGTGTATGGACGTTGCTGGCAAAGAGCGAGAGAAGTGGTAGAGGACGAGAAAGATAGGCTCCTTTCCTTAAGAAAAGAAGTCACTTGGAGTACCGAAATCAGGATCTTTGAAGACTTGCCTAGGCCGCGGATTCCTTACGAAGCATTGGCAGGGATTGGTCGAGGTCTAATAATTGATTTCATAAACCGGCACCATAACCCGAATGGCCAGAGGGAACGGGAATAGTCAGTCTGGGGGGGGATATATCAAGTGAACTAAGACAGCGTGACCGTGATAGGTGGAGGTCCCGAGAGTTGCTCAGACTTTTGACGGAATGGACCCAGGAAGATTTGCGTACTCTAGGCAGGACGGTCTGAAGGAGAGTTCGATCTGATGAAACAGGGTTGATTGAGATTAAGAGACGAACCTCTTGCCTACGAGATCAAGAAGGGGAACTCTACCTTGACACAGGCCTATTCGGAGTAGAAGGTGAGCACGAGATAAGAGATGACAGAGGAAGATTGATTGGGGTCGTGAGGGCGGTGGAGGATTAGTGCAAGGGAGACCAAGAGAAAGAATGCTTCCAATACCAAGAGCAGTTAGAAGTCATGCTAGGGGAGTTGACCAAGGATGAGGATGTGTAGGAGACTGGATGAGGGGAAGTCGAGGAAGTTTGTCCGCACCCTTAACTCTATATCGAAGAGAGCAGTGATTCCATACGAGATCGTGAGATATGAAGGTCTAAAGAGTCAAGGATGGGAGATTGATGGTATGTATGTCATTACCTACTACTTCATCAACCTTGATGAGTATGATGTGGGAATATACGTGCCGCAACATAGGTTTAAGGAAGACGAAAAAGGTCGTTGTTGGCAACGGGCCTCGGACATAGTGCATAACGAGAAGAGAAGACTCCAACGATTAAGGGCGAATTTCTCGTGGAGTACCTACGTTAGGCCTTTCATTGGGATACTGTCGTCGCCAGTTCAAGGGCTCACGCTCGCTAACAATGAATGGTCAGCCGTAATAGACCTCGTATGGAAGGTGAAGAGGGCGCAAGACGAACTCATTGATGCCAGGAACAGTGACTGAAGAGGAAGAGGTGAATCGCGTATCATTCGTTGGCAGAGTGACATCAGTCATTAGAATTCGGTCAACCAGGTCTCTAGACGAACAGGATTGCAGACAGCTTGCTCAAAGGGCAATTGAGAGAGAGAGACCTAGAATCTTGGGGCTAGTGAGAGCAGAGAGAAGAATTACCTATGATGTGATGGTTTGGTCTCAAGGATGGCTGAGGTACGAAGTATAGAAAGAAGAGACAGTCCAAGAAGCAGAATCCCGCGTGTAAGAGGGAGTGACGAGAATATTAATTCGCTACTTGACGCATACTCGGACCCAGTGAACGATAAGATAGTGCAACTGGTAGACGGATATAAGGAGTGGAGCGGCTCTACGGGTGTGCGAGAATTACAGGCGCTCGAGCAAAGAGTAGAGAGACTGGCCTTAATCTATAAAGAGGAAAGAGAAAGGATAATAAACTGGAGAGAGGAATTCCTGGCCAAGAAGATAAAAGAGATCCGCAAAGAAAACGAAGAAAAGAGGAATGGCTAGTGGTGAAGGCGAGGCAAGGAAGTATCCACTAATCTGTGGAGCAAAAATTGAGGGATCCTTAGTGAGGGCAAGGGTAGAAGTTATACATAACGAGAGGTTGAGTCAGAAAAAAGAAGTTGAGGCAACCAGAAGAACGATCAAAGAAGCTAGGATTTGGGCTATCTGGAAGGCAGCTGACGAGCTTCGAGTGGCAAAAATCGAGATCTGTACGACGCCATTTGTAGGAGAAGGATTTTTCAGGGAGCGGAGAGAGACCATAGCAGAGACAAGGACCAGACTAAGGGAGGACGTTCGCGAGCCTGAGGAACTTTCGAGCGACGTGATTGACGTAGTTTCCCTGAGAACCTTGGAAGTTAACTCGCGGTATACAAAGGCCGTGTTGACCACCGCTTTAGTAATTAGGGCGGAAAGACGAGACTCTGATTTCGAAGCGTTGTTGGAACTGTTGGCCGACTCCACTGAAAGGATCCTAGTCGCGTTGAGAAGTGTAGTCGAAAGCTAGACAGGGTGTTCAAGGATTAGTTAGGAAGGATGGACGGAGAAGGAGCTTATCTAACCTCGATAGGGAGTGAAGTGAAAACGCAGGAATCGAGAACGAATAGTCCAGACAGAAAAATGAGCGTCGACGTGGACAACGACGCGGAGAGAATAAGGAGGATCTTAAGAGAACTAGATACTCGTGTCAAGAAGCCGGAGGGACAGAGCTCTAGGAGCGAAGGCTGGAGGAAAGAAGCTTTGAGCAGAACAAAGATGGCAAGGTTTGTGGATCCTGGGGTAAGAGAACCTCATAGAGAGGTCGCGAGTGAGCCTTACAGGAGAGACCCTCATTCCATGGCGTATGCGCCAGGCACTTATGTGTCTCCCTTCCTAGGGGCCCCAGCGCTACAATCCCCCGGGCTGGCTGGAATTCAGACAATCTTTACAGGGAAGAATGTCACGGAATTCCTAGATGCGAGCTGAATGGACTGATCAAGATAACATAGTGAACTTCCTCCACCATACAGCCCCAAAGAAAGATCGTGAAGTGAGGGACGCCATCCCTGATAATTGGCGTTGGTTGGCGTTCAGAAAGAGAGTTGTCCGAGTCTTCGCATGTGACGAGACCTCTTACTCAATAGACGACTTAAAAAGGATGAAGAAACAAGAAGATGAGAGTTTAGTGGCGTTTGCGAGAAGATACGAGAAGGTATCCAATCCCCTGGTAGAAGGAGGGTTTATGGGGGAGATAGAGCGGTGTGGGATATTTTTAGGGTTTTTATCCCGAGAGAAACGTGATAAGATCATGAGGGATCTTCCGTCCAGGGTGGTGTTTGGTCAAGTCAAGCTTTTAATCCACGACACAGAGGGACAAAGCGTTAAAGCACACCTCGCAAGGATTCTCGACAAACTAGGCAAGGAAGTAACTGCGGACAATGGGGGAGGAAGACCTCAGTATGAGGATAGAAGACCCCGAATTGAAGGAAGAGATGTCGGCACAGGCTCGCCTAGGAGGGGGGAGTCGATCAGAGGCGATAGCGATTGGAAGAAAGGAGAAAGAGGAGATTGGAAAAGGAACGACGGAGAATGGGGGACCTCTTCCAAATGGTCCAACATTAAAGGTAGTCGGTGGAAACCGAAGGAAGAGATAGAGGTTAGGAGGTATAAAAGACGAGAGGAGGAGATGGCGAGGCAGATAGAGGTTCTGAAGGCGGCGGTAGAGAAGTTACAAAGTAGTAATCAAAGAAGGGAAGAGACCCCGACTCGAGCCGCTCCCCGAACAGAGAATCGCGGGGACCCTAGTCCGAAGTGGACTTGGAATCGTAAGGCCTGTATCTACTGTGGGGATGAGGACCACCAAAAGAGAGACTGTCGTGCGATGATGGAAGCCCTGACGGAAGACATCATCGAGTTAGATGATCGGAAGTATGTGATGTGGGCAGATGAAGGAAAGTCAATGCCCTTCCTACCCTCGATGAAGATCAATGTGGATATCAGGAGGCGAAGGATGAATGAGGCAAAGAGAAAACAAGCACAAGAGTCAGCGGCAGCGAAGGTTTCCCGAGTGACATTTGAGGAGGACCTTGAAGGGTTACCGGAAAGTCCTGGGATGAGGATTTCATCTATTAAGTTTGAGGATACAGAGGATAATGGTGAAGTTTACGTTTGTACTCAGGGTGTTGGCGAATCGAGTAAAGGAAAGAAAGAAGACCCAGACCAACCAATGACGGATGAGCAAGTGGAGTCGCCTAAGTCACCTCAGTCCCCTAGAAAAAGAGGGGCCAAGAAGTTTCACTTGAAAAGTTCACTAGATGAGGTAGATTTGAGAGAGCCGTTAAGGAGGGCTATGGATATGCCCATTCCTATTACCTTAAAAGAATTCATAACCAGCTGTGGACCAGTGCGAGATGAGCTAATAGGAATGATGAAGAAGGATAAGGTGCCACTAGCGGAGGCTGCGGCTTCAAGCGAGTCGAAGATAGAAACGAAGACATTTGTTCTAGCGGCGGAGAAAGGAGGAATAGAGCATGTAGAAACCAATGATGGCGGAGGCGATTATTTCTATGTTCTTGGTAGCGGGAAGTTGAACGCCACCGTCAATGGGATAAGAATGGAAATTATAGTAGACGACGGGTCAGAGTCTACCGTTTGTGAGAATAAAGTGGTCCGAAAGCTGGGTCTAGAGGTGGACAGGAGTGTAGCCATGACCATGGTATCAGCCAACAAGCTAAAGCAGCCTGCGCTAGGGGTGTGTCATAAAGCCAATGTCATAGTCGCTGGGGTCGAGGCCACTGTACCTGTATTTACAGTTGAACACTGCTCGTCGGAGCTAATCCTTGGACGAACATGGCTAACACGTGTCAATGCTACCACCGAGAATAAGCGTGATGGGAGCCAGACGGTTACCATAGACGGGCCCGAGGGAAGCAGAGTCACCCTAAAAACTGTGAATGGATTTGACAAACGTCATAAGATTTCCCTACAGAACAAGGGACTGTTAAAAACGAGAAGTTGTCAGATGATTCCCGAGGAAGTCACTCTTAGACCTCATAAAGTGAAAGGGGGGAAGATTGAAGTTGAGGACTTGGAGGGCAAGTACGTGGTCAATAGAATGGTTTATGAGAAGGAGGTTGACAACGACGAGTTCGACAGGTGCGTGAACCTATCTTTTTTGGAGGAATTCCCCCACAAGGCGGGGGAAAAAGATACAAAACAGTAGCACAAAAAGTCAAACCAGCCGCGGTCAGCCGTGATAGAACCAGGGAGATAGGAATCACTGAGGAATAGATCACTCAGATGATTAGAGAGCGAAAGGCTACTGAAGAGCAAAGAATTACCGACGACAGGATAGAGGGAATGGACATAGGTGACGGGAATATAACTAAAGAAGAGAGGGAGTTGATAATAGACACTTTAAGAGCGTGCGACAAGGCAGTAGCCTTTTGCGACGCGGGGAGAGGAAGGATAGATCCCAGATATGCTAAGCCCGCAAGGATTTATACGGTGCCGCACGTACCGTGGAATGATGCCGGGTGGAAGTGCGCGCAAAAGGAGAAGGAGATGATAGTGGATTTCTTAAAGGAGAAGATAAGAACGTTCATAGCGGAACCATGTGAGAGCGCCGACGCCAACAGATGGTTTTTCATTAGGAAGTCGAATGGGAAGCTCCGATGGATACAAGACCTCCAGAAAACGAATAAGGTCACAGTTAGGGACGTCGGATCTATCCCTAATGCAGAACTTATATCTGAAGGAGCGGCTGGACGCTCGATTTACTCAGTCTGTGACCTTTTCTCAGGCTACGACGAGATTCCGCTTGATTATCGAGACCGGCATCTGACCGCAATGCACATGCCGTTAGGGCTAATACAGATGATGGTGGTGCCAATGGAATGGACTAATGGCATGGCAGTCTTCCAAAGAGCGATGGCGGCAGTCTTATGAGAGCTTATACCGAATTTGGTAGAGGTCTTCCTGGATGATTTTCCAATCAAGGGACCCTACGAGAAGGACGAGACTAAGGTGAGGCCTGGAGTAAGGATGTTCGTCGCTACCCACGCTGAAGATATTAAGAAGGTGCTGGTGAAGTTGGAGGATGTTAATCTAACCATAAGCGGAACTAGGAGTAGGTGGGCAGTGTCTTTTATAAAGATACTAGGCTACATTTGTAACAAGGATGGTAGGAGACTGGATCCCGCGAAGTTAGAGAAGCGTATGAACTGGCCTACTCCGTTACGGCATATTACCGATATACGTCAGTTTCTGGGGGTAGTTGGGTTCTGGAAGAACTTTATAAAGGGCTATGCTGGAAAAGCCGAGCCGCTAAGAAGGTTCTTGTGCAAAGGAGTGGAATGAAGTTGGACGAGTGAGCAAGAGGATATAGTGAGAGCCCTAAAGGATGAATTTAAAGAAGGGGGACAAGTTCTCGGTGTTCCTTACTTTGAGGACGAGGAGAAGCGACCGTTTGTAGTATGCACGGACGCGGGACCTACCTCCGTTGGGGGGGTCTTAGCTCAGAAAGACCAGGAGGGCCGTGAGAGACCTCTTAGATTCGAGAGTAAAACCTTAAACACCACTGAGAGGAACTACTCACAATTTAAGAAAGAAGTCCTACGGGTGCTACACTGCCTGAATGTCTTTCGTCATTACATTTACGGACGAAGATTTATACTGAGGGTTGACCCAACAGCGGTGGCGGCCGTCCTGCAGAAAGATTTTTCGTTGACGGACCCCACAATTACTAGATGGCTCATGCACATAAGAATGTTTGACTATGTGGTGGAACGGATATTATATCGGGGGCTAAGAATTCAGTGGCGGATGGCTTATCGTGAATTCCGTTAGAAGAAGAGAACCTAGGATCGTCCGGAGGAGTTGACAAGTTTTTACAGATGGAGATAGGCTCTCTAAGAGTAGAGACAAGTACGGCCAGGACTCCGCTATTCCTCGAGAATCTCTATACGGGGAAATACCACCGGATAGGGCGGTATCTCATAGGTGAGGCGGAGTCGGACGACAAGGTTAGGAAGGAGGCTCAACAGTATTGCCTAAGGGCGGGTCACCTCTTTAAGAGGCCACCTAAGAACGGGATGTCTATGAGGGTCGTCTGTGACGAGGATGAGCATCGAGACATAATAGCGGAACTTCACGACGGCGTCGTTGGGGGACATAGAGGAGTGAAAGGAACCTTTGAGAAGGTCAGGAACCTTTATTGGTGGGATGGTCTATGTAGGGATGTGGAAGCGTATTGTCTCACATGCGTGAAGTGTCAGAAAAGGGTTGTGGTTAAGTATAAGGAACCACTATTTCCTTCGTATCCTACAGCCGTAGGTCAAAAAGTTCACGTGGATTTAGTTAAGATGCCCAAAGGAGAAGGTGGAATGAATTATATCATGGACATTAGGGACGACTTGACCGGGTTTGTGGAGGCATGGCCATTGAAGCAGAAAACAGGCAAGGCTGTTAGTGGATATCTAACGAAGTATATCACTCGGTATGGTTGTGTGGGGAAGATTGTTATGGATAGGGGGTCAGAATTTATGGCCAAAGAAGTCCAGGAACTGCTCCAGAAGGCAGGAATACGGGTGTCACTGTCCACGACATATCATCCCCAAACTAACACTCCTGCAGAAAGGGGACATCAGTCTCTAGTGAATGCGCTCGCCAAATGGTGTGAAGGAAAGGAAAAGAAGTGGCCTAGGTATCTAAGATTCGTTGTCTGGGCGGATAACATTACCGTTCGATCAACCACTGGATATCCCCCCTACGCTTTATGGTTTGGCAGACACTGCCCCTTACCAATAGAATTTCATATCAATTCTTGGCAGATGATTGACTGGGGGGAAGTCTCGACTAGAGAACAGTTGTTGACCGCTAGAGTCAAACAAATAGCTGAGACCCTTAAGGATAGCACCCTGGATGCTACGGAAAAACTAAAGATCCAGAGGGGAAAGGAGAAGGAGAGATGGGATAAGCATATCCGAGTTAGGCAAGAAGGGATACCCGAGGGAGGTCTAGTCTTGCTTTACGATTCTTCGTTAGAAAGTACTTGGACTGGGAAGTTAGCGAACCGATGGATGGGGTCATATCGCGTGGTAAAAAGGCCGGAAGGTGGAGCCTATCTGATAGAAGAACTAGATGGGGCTAGGTGGGCGGAACCAGTATCAGGTGTTCGCTTAAAAGTCTTTAAGGAACGAAAGGAGCCTACTTTGCATCTGCGAAAGGATAAAGAGAAAGAAGAAGTCGATAAGCGACGAGAAGGTCGTCTGGAGAAGCGCGAAGCAGACCCTACAAGAGTGGTCACTCATGAGAGAGGAGAATCCTCTAAGATGTCTACAAAAAAAGAGAAAAAGAATGCCCTACGGGTCAAGGGTAGACAATGGAAAGGCACGAAGAAGAAGAAGTGCGAAGTCGTAGAATCGGCCGGGTTGAGGAAGGAAAATAAACAGAAGGGCAAGGAGACTATTAAGGCCATACTGGTAGTGGATAAGACAGAGAGTCAGCGCCGGTATGAGAACAGGCAACGGGGGTCCACCAACCGATTAGGGATCGAAAAAAACTTAATTAAGAAGAAGCAAAGAAAGAAGAAAAAGCAACAAAAAGGGACTCGGTGAGGAAAAAGAAGACAATCTTGGGTTGATGGGTAGAGATTAGGAGTCAGCCTTTTACTCCCTTTTTCCTGGATATACCCAGATCGCTCGCCGGGGACGTCGAGAATGGGGGGGGGGCTGCTGTCGAGCGGCACCAGTGCTACGCCTCCCTTTACTTCCCTTACGAGGACGTGCGGCGGGATTTCTAATTGTGGACTACTACCCCGCCGGGGCTCAGCGACCAAGACAAAATGCAGCAACGAAATGACGCGACGGGTGATTGGTTCACGGTGGCCGACTGGACGAGGGCCGAGTATTGAAAACTGGTATCTTTATAAGAAGAGGCCCTGAACGTAACTTCCGACAAGCTCGAAAAGGGCACCACAGAGGACGATTGCCGAGGGCCCCGACGAGTGGCGCGTCCACGGAAGGTTGGGATGACGCTAAAGCTCGGCGAGACAATGGAGGGGAATGGGGACATAGGGCGTCTACCGCAAGGCTACGATTAACTTAAGCGGGGGTGGCATTGAACATTGTCTTGGCTGGCCGGACTACGAAGNGAGGGGAATGGGGACATAGGGCGTCTACCGCAAGGCTACGATTAACTTAAGCGGGGGTGGCATTGAACATTGTCTTGGCTGGCCGGACTACGAAGGAACCAGCGTTGACAAAGTGGTGAGACGGGGGCTACGTGGGGACCTCAAGACTAAGGGAAAATGGGCGCAGGTTTTGGAGCCACGAAGAAGCCTTCCGGCCAKGAATTTGACAGGCCYGCGCGGTTTGCATAAAAGAGGGCCGGTACCGTTTATGGGTAGGGACCACATAGGCCAAARTAGGYCAGAAAYAGGCTCGGGGAGAGYTTCGGTACCRGGGCGCTGCAAAGGGCCCGGTTCCCGAAAAATAGGCCCTCCTCGACAAAACCTGTTCGGGGTTCTAATCAGGCCCGGGCGCAGGATCGGTACCGGGGCGCTKCAACTGCARCAGGCCCACGCYRACACCTTGAGGCCRTGAGTGGGCCGAGGCCGGAGGCTGCAAACTTTATAAGCCCAACAGGGCTCAAGTTCGGGGCACWTCWCGCATGCAAGGACAGGCGCAYGGAAGACTGGCGCACGAGCTRCAAYACGGGTGAGTCGGGACGCACGGACGGGCCAGGGGGCAACACTCGCKCTCGGGAGAGGGACGTACGAGGGAGATGCAYGCGGGGAAGGCAGRAGACGTCTACACGCACGAGAGGGAGCACGTACGGATCTGCCACGAACRGATCATGCACGGACGGGCCAAGGGCAGACGAACGGGAACACGAACAGGTACGGGACAAGGRCACGGACSGAACACACGCACTGGGGGAAGCACATACAGAGAGGCGCACRRTTGACGGGTGAGAKGAGCTGCGGGGGATCCACGCACACCCGCTGTCATTGCGCACGGGTGAGAGAACCCGCGGGGAATCTGCGCGCACCCGCTGGCATCGCGCACGGGTGAGAGAAGCCGCGGGGAATCTGCGCACTCCCCCTGGCATTCGCGCACGGGTGAGAGAAGTCGCAGGGTATCTGCGCACTCCCACAGACATTCGTGCACGGGTGAGAGAAGTCGCAGGGTATCTGCGCACTTCCACTAGCATTCGCGCACGGGTGAGAGAAGTCACAGGGTATCTGCGCACACCCGCTGGCATTGTGCACGGGTGAGAGAAGCCGCGGGG